CCTCCGGAGGTGAGAGTGGTACGCACACCGGCACCTGTCTATCGGGATGTCTACGACGATCGTGACGGCACTTATCACCGTTACACCGTCGAGCCTATGGCGCCACCACCACCTCCCGTCGAAAGAATTTTCATCGACCAGTACGGCAGGAAATTCCGCATTGAGGAGCGTCCCTCCGTTGTCCCTCGAGCAATGTCAGTTCGTGGTGCCGAAGCGGAGCCGCGGTATGAAGAATATCCACGACAAGCCCGTGCAGGCTCAGTTTTCGTCGAGGCAGCACCGGACAGAGCGTATGCCACCGAGATGGCTCCACCACCAGTCTCATATCATCGTCTCGCCGAGCAACCTGTAATGTCCGCTGTGCCTGGGTCCGCTCCTCGAGAATACATTGAGTCGGCTCCACCAAGACGAAGCTCCAGTGTCCAGGTGATGGATCGCCCAGCACGACAAGCCGTTTACGCTGATGAGCGGACCGAGTACCGTGAGCCCATTCGAATGGGAAGCGTGCGGCCACCGCCGGCACTACGGTACGAAGAACCCCAACCGATGGGACTCGTGACACGTGGACAGAGCATGCGTCCTGTCGGTCGCGAAGGAAGTGTCTTTGTGGATGATAGACGGCCGGTCCTACCGGAATATGTTCCTGTAGACCAACCTCGATACCGACCAATGGAGCCAGAGAGGAGGTATGTCAATAGCGAAGACAGGGAGAGACTCACGATGGATGGATCAATGGATGGCAGACACCGAGTAATGGAGAGGTACTGAAATTGCAATGGGGACGGAGATGAGATTCGGGGACTTCCTTGTCTTTCTGCGTGGAGACTTGTGTTGATAATAATCAGAATTGCTGGTGGAGAGCGAGCCACGTATGTGTGTGTTTTATCTGTACAAGTACCTCGTACCTATGGATGGCGTGTATAAAATTTCGCAGAAGCTCAAAATGCGGTTGTGGCTGTCGATGAAGCAGCCGATAATATGAAGCAAGACGAGCTGGAGAACCACTTTCAAACATCAACATGATGATTCTGAAACCAAGCCATGTCAGCCTCCAAAGTGTTGTCTCTTCTCTCTGGTGCCATTGTGCGATTGTTTCACCTTGTCTTGTTCCCACGCGAGTTCGAGTTCTTCTGTAGAGAACGCAGGCTGAGGCTTGCGATTGGCCACACACGAACCAACTAGCCGCCCACCTCATCTTCCTTCACACTTGGACCCCTGCGAATAGCAACTCGTCTACGGAGGACGCCTTTGTCAACACTCAATGCGCTATGCCATGGTCTGGGCGCTTGCTGAACTCTGGAGCCTCTCGGATAATTGCTGACATGGCGCGACCCTCTCTGCTGGCATCCTCTCATCCAACCAACTTGATTCCAATGCCACGACTCCAGGCTTCATCTCGCCGCAAGGCCTCCTTTCCACCTGCCCTCTACCACAGGACAAGCGCCCATGAAGAAATGTGATTGAAGGGCTCCCTGCCACTCTCCACCCGCTCCGCTGCAATGGACAAGGTAGGGAGGACAAGACGGAGGGAGAAAAAGTGAGCTCGTGTTAGCGGGAACTGCGGTTCCCCCACAGCAGCATGCCATGGTCGAAAGCTTCGTTTCATGGCCTTCAAAGATCCCTCTTCCTCTGGCCAGCCATCTCGACCTCTTTTCTTCTCCAAGGAAGAGTGGTAGGTTGTCGGGCTGCAGCTGCAGCTTTGGAAGCATCACGCCTTCCTTGTTTTCGTCCTCTTCTGTCCTTGACCTTTGGTTCCTGGTCTCTATCCATCACTGATGCTGGCATCGTCGACATCTCCGTCAATGGTCAAGCCCTAATCGTGCAACGGGTCGCTTGCAACACCGTGTGTTGAGACGTCGTCTCCGTCTTCGCCAATATGAAGTCCAAGGTCGCGCCGGAGGACTCGCTGGAGCCAACATGCCATTTCGAGCTGTTCGATTGTTTCTTTGCGAGAAACGATGAGAAAGAGTTGGAGAAGCAGCCACTTCCCTCTGGTTTGTGGTTCTCTCCCAGCACGAGCATGAGAGGGATTTATTGACGTATCTATAGGTGTGGAGCGAGAAATGCGCATCATGTACCAACAACCTCACCTGGTTCCACCCATGAAGCTCACCTTGTTTGACGGACTGCCTCCAACTCCTACACCACCGCTCCCTTCACAGTTATCGCAATGGGTTTCTCATGGCAAAGCTTCCCTCAGATCGAGCCTGTCATTGCGAAGACAGGCTGCGAAACCCATCATCTCTGGTCCTCAGCCACCACTGCCTGTGGCACAGCAGCTTCCCTTCCGACGGGCGGCTCACGAGTTTCGTCCACTGGAGCTCAGCATCTACATGCCCAATAATCGACTATCAGACCTTCCAGCTTTCGATAGGCTCAGTTTCACCGACGGCGGCGATATCAAAGCCCCTCCTCGAGCATTGGTGCGGACAAAGTCAGAAGAGTTTCTTCCACACAAGGTTTCTCTCCTGCCTACTCCTGCGAAACCTGCCTCGATGATTGAACAACGCCGCATGTCCCATATACGGCCCGATACATCGTCGACTGTCATATCGATGTCGCGGCCCCCTTCGGAGTACGACGCTCTCCACTCTCACCCCGTGTCGTGGTCATCTTTCCCTGGCCTACCTCCACAGATCCACTTTCCTGGTGTTCGCTCCGAAGCATCTGTGGCCATCCTGACGCCGATGCAAGAGGAGTTTAGCCCTCCTGCGACCTCGGTCGCCATTGGTGACACTGTGCTCGACTTTCCGCGAGACCTTGAAGCTCCAGCAGCGCAAGGTGACCGTATTCCTCCCGAAGCGCCTGCACCTCCCCCGATTGTACCTTCAGCACCCGCCAGAAACTTCTCCAAACCGACCGACATGAACTCGCCTTCGGGTTACTTCCATCCCAATTATCAAACACAGAAACGTATCTCTCAGTGGCTCGCACACCGCAGTCATTCTTCCTCAATCAGTACCACTAAATCATCTTCGACGTCGTCATCATTCGCGGAGCATCGCCGCAAGCGGACTCAATTCTATCAACTCTCTGCACCAGCGGCAGCACCACCCAAACCATTGAGCCTGTGGCCACGCCAGCATCACAGGACAATGACTGAGTCCACTGTCGCCAGCACCATTGACACTGACATCCTTTCCTATGGTGACCAAAGTCAGACAGACGCAACGAGTGTCACCACCATGACAGCCGGGGAATGGCAAGGTCGAAGTGGCCCGGTAAGGAGTGTCTCCAAGGGAGGCGGGACATTAAGACCCATTGTCAGTGGTGTCCCTGATGTGCCGCCATGCTATGCCGATCTCATCAAGGATGCCGACGAAATCATCATCAAAGAAATTGGCGGGCCCCTGCGAAGTCCAGGTGTGGGGGTTGCTTTCTGAGGTGAATGCGGTTGCCGCAGTTCTCTTTTGTTTGACTGCTTTCTTCTATGAGGACATCATCTTTCACCGCTCCCGCACTCGCACCTCAATCGGCTCCGGCAAAGCCAGAGAAAGGGTGTCTTTTGATGCCAAAAGTTGGAGGATTCGTTCGTTTTTGTTGGTGGCTCAGGCATTTGGACCTTCGAGACTCTCGTTGACTTATTTTGAGATACCCAGTCGGTTTGGTTCATTTCGACATTTGGAGCGGGAATCTGGCAGAAAATAGACGCGGGGTGATAGGTTCGTCAACAAGGACGACCAGGATGTGAATCGCGACCACTACCTACTAATGATGCCTTTGTCGGTGGACGGAGGTGCGCGAGTTGACCGGCTCTTGAAGGGCTGAGAAACTGACAGGGTGTGAGTGGTAGATGCGAGATTGTATATACCTTTCTAGAACAAAAATCCTATACGATTAATTGGCATTTGGTGGGCAGAGTTGTATGCGATGTGATCTCTCTGTTCGGACAGGTAGTTACGTGTAAGCTCTTGTCATACGTGGCTCTTGATGACGACTGTGTCTGTCACAATTGATCTTGACTGGCCCTAATAGGAGGAGGAGCAGGAGGAAGAGGAAGAAGACAGGTACGTTACATTTCGGAGACGGACAGATACATATTGTAGGATAGATTAGGTCCAATACCTTTCCTGACTCCCTAACCCCCTGACTCCCCGATGCTCTGTAACGTGTATCTGTTCGTCCCTCTGCCTGTCTATCTGTCGATCTGTCGGTCTATCTGGTCTGGACTAGTCTAGACTAGGTGTGAGAGTCGTGAGAGTTGTGTTGAGAGACAGAGCTGTGCGGGTCGTGCGGGTCGAGCGAGTTGTGCCGAGCGTGAAAGATCCCCGTTGCCTGCCCTTCCTCTTCCTCTTCCCTAGAAAATACAAAAAAGTAGACAAGATATATATTTCTGGGTGGAATGGCCAGTAGAGTGGGAGTGGGATGGAGTAGGGTAGGGTAGGGTAGGGTAGGGTAGGTAGATGGATTGATGGGTAGAAGAGCATCTCCTCTTCTCTCTCTCTCTCTCTTGGGCTGCTTTGCCCCACTCGAGTGTGCCTGTTTTGAGTGCCTCGTGCCTGCCTCTTGCGTCTCGAGTGCCATCACCAAGCAAGACGCACGACCTGTTTTGAGTGAGTGCGAGAAAATACGAGGTACGAGGAGGTACAAATACCACTACTGTGTGAGTACCTATGTACCTACCCACCTACCCACCTACCCACACATGTACCCGTACTTGTACTCGTACCCGTACTCGTACTCGTCGCGGGCTGAACTTGTAGCAGTCAAGTATGTAGGTAGCCAATCATATACATCGGCTTCATGTATTTCAGCCAATCAAAATCAGCGGGTCCTGGGGGGACATTTCCCAAATAGGAAATCAATGGAAATCTTAAGGAAACAGGGAAGAGGGAAGAGGAATAGTTATGCTTGATGCTTGATGCTTGATGCTGAATTTGATCTTCCTCTTCTTATTAGTCATAATTCAAATTAACTAATCAACCATCCTCCATCCGTCCGCTCGAATCACAGTATAAATAATATGTCCCATCTACCTCTTCACCCCAGGACCGCGACGCCTACTCTGACTCTGGCTCTGACACCGCGTCTGTCTCTGTCGCTCCGCGCTTGACTAATACCTGGATTGATTCCTCCTTTCCCCACTTCTTCGCCAAATCCAGCGCTGTGCGGCCATTTACATTTGTCGCACTCATGTCTGCGCCATATTCAATCAACAGCTCCACGATATTCGCACGGTCATCCACCAACGCACACTGCAGTGCGGTGCTGGGCCTTTCTCTTTCGTAATGTTTGGTAAGCAACAAATAATCCGTCCACGCGTTGACATCCGCACCGTGTGTGAGCAACAACTGAACCATTTGAACGAATCTTCCCGCACAGGCCGCCTGCAGAGCAGTGCCATTTTCTCCAGCTGGAGCGTTGACATCCGCCCCCTGTTCGAGCAATAGCTGTACAGTCTCAACCCGATCGTGTCTAGAGGCTTCCTGTAGAGCAGTACCGACCCAATTTCCACCCGGAGCGTTAATATCGGCCCCTTTATCAAGGAGTAGTCGAATAATTTCAAGATGCCCGTATGCTGAGGCTGCCTGTAGAGCAGTACCGACCTTATTTCCACCCGTAGCGTTGATATCGGCTCCCCTATCAAGGAGGAGTCGAACAATTCCGAGAAAACCCTTTGCTGAGGCTAAATATAGAGCTGTGTACTCTTCGTCCCAGCCTCTAGCCATCCGAGCATTGACGTTAGCACCGTGGGTAAGCAGCAGCTGCACGATTTTGACACCATGTAATGTGGACGGGTCTAGTCGGGCCACGGCCGCCAGCAGGACACTACCATGTATGGTGGCAGCATTCACATCGGCCCCGTGATCGATAAGCAGCTGGCAGATACTCAGATGTAGTTCAGCTACGCCACATTCCAATGGCGTGCCATAATCTTCATTCCATCGGTTGGCATCTGCTCCGGATTCAAGCAGAATCTGAGCAATCTCATAGTGACCGCACTTCACAGCAGCATGAAGTGCACTACTATACCCTGGAATTTGCTGGTTGACATCAGCTCCGCTCTCGATCAGGCGGCAGGTGGCGTGCTCGACACCTAGCAGCGACGAGTAGAACAGCGGGAAGTACGCTACCGACCGATAATATCCGGAAAAGCCTAAGCCCATAGATCCTCGAGGATCATACATGTGGAGCCATCTCCAAAAGCAACGAGGAGAAGTTTCGCCGAGGAACCGGTATGCGCTGTTCGAAATTTTCTAAAGTCTGCCGTTTACCTTTTCAACCTCGCAGACATGTTCGTGCCAGAACTCCGCTGCGTATTTGGTCACTGGCCTTGCGTCGGCATCTTCGCCTCGGCCTCCGTCTGTATGGTCTCCGACACCTTTGGCAATATCCTCGTCTGCATCCTTATTTGATTGTGAAAGCTGGTCCAACTGAAGGAGAACCGAAATGGAGCATTCGCCAATATAGTTGTGAGCCTCGGTGGCAGAAACAGAGAAGTAGGCCGATCGCCCAGATGTCAAGTATCCAAGGACGGAGAAATGGGCGAACCTGACCACTTCAATCTCCAGATAAACCCTCCGGGTAAAGTGTTTCTCCGTTTGCATCACCGTTTGTTTCTCCGTCGACAGTGTAACGAGACTGCGACAAATGCGCAAAACTTCTGAGAGGTTGCATAATTCGTCCAGGTCACTCGGGTCATCTCCAGGTCTCAGAACCGCAGCGTCTGCGACCTCCTCCAGTGTCAAAGTGCGTTTCGAGTATACAAGCCACTGAAGAATGGATCGAGCATCGTCCTTGTTTGTTCTTGGAATTGCGTTCAGTATCCGCTCATATGTCTCGTCGAGAGTCTCCGGTAACTCGGTCAGTGCTTGCCTAATGGAGCTGACTTTTGTGCACCCCCCCAGCATGTCAAGCTGGCAGACAACCCAACGAAACCTGCTGAGAATTAGTCGGAGCATTTTTCGGGATGCGGAAATCATGGAACTCGAACGAACATTCCCTTAGCCCCCTCTGTGAGCCTCGTCTCTATGCTAGCTCTGATATTGATCTTGTCCCGCCATCTGCGAAGTGGAATTCCTCCAGAGAGGATTGTATGTACCTTTGGATGTCACTGTCGACCGCAGAGCCCTGGATGGGGAGACCCCCATTTGCGAGATTCCCTAGAGCCGCATCGATATCCCACTCTTTTCGGCTTGTTGTCAGGATGTGGAGGTTCTGGAAACGACCATCGACCATTAGGGTGATCCATTTGAGCAATTGTTTCCTTTGTGCGTTTTTTGTATTCTCTGGAAATTCGTCGAGCGCGTCCAGTATGATATATACATCTTTGGCCAGGTGATCAACGACAGCGTCCAGGGTAGACGTTAGCTCCTCATGGGTAGGGTTTGATCCGGTCCCGTGGTGTTGAGTGTATATTGCTTGGGTTGGATCCGGCAGTGTGGGCTCGTTGGCACAGAGTTGTCTGAGCAGCGACCGGAGTAGAGCGGACATGAACAGATCCTCCTTGTGAGAATCATTTGGGAAATCCTGAAAGTTGAAGTAAAAGTAGGCTAACTTTCCAGCTGTGCCGTCAGAACACAATTCTTTAACAGCCTCGATGATCGTTGAGCTGTTGATTCAAGTTAGCAGAGGATGTAAAATCCCATAAAGTCTTCGACAAGGCGTGTGTACCAGAGAACTGTTTTGCCACAACCAGCTAGATGACCCTAAAATAAGCCCTGCAGTCCAGTCAAAGAAGGAGGGCATTGGGCTAGATGCTTACGAATTCCGTGCAGCCATACCAAGCCCGGCGTTTTGATCCAGCCGCTGAAATCGTCTGACTCCAGAAACCAGAGACCAGTCTCTGGCTCTCTCTGAGCCATAGCCCGGTTATGATTCGATGATGGATTAGTTGAGCCGCCGATCCATTCCAGCAATGTCTCTCGTTCATCGGCTAAGAACATTAGCTTCTCCCAAGCTCATATTGAAACGAAGAAGGAATGTATATCCATCTGACGCCGATGAAGTTGGCTCATCTGACTGTCGTGCAAACCCCCTTTTCTGTCAAGATCGGTCTGAATCTTCTTGACAAGCTCCACGATTTCCGTGACGTTTTTCGATGTGTTTAGCTGCGTTTCACGATTTACCAGAACCTCATCCAGGGTTTTAGAGAGGACATTACTAAGGCAACGATGGCCCTTTACATTAGCCCACTACAGTTCCATTATGGGTTCGAGTTGGAGACTTACCATCCTTCTATTGTCATCGAGAATTGGAATATCTGGATGCAGCGCCGGATTGTGGCGATAGTATCCATCTTCCCATCACGTTGGAGAGCCCAGATTAACTTTCGGTAATATTTCTTCTCCGGGCTTTCTTTCGGGAGCTTCTGTACAATTGTTGAAAGCGAATTGAGTGTCGCGTGGCAGGTTTGGATCGAAGTAAATAAGGCTGAAGTGTCTTTGAACCGTGGGGATGGTCGGTTCTCGCCATTGAGGAATTGGTCAAGCTGCTTCAGTACTTCGCAGAGTGAACAAAGCTCTTGTCTGAGCTCGAGTGATTCTTGCTCAGCCTTCTTGACCGATCTTATGTACTTGGAGAGGATCTCGGTGACGTCGATGGTAAGGCTGAGCAGACCTGCAACGCTGGCTGTTAAACTTAGCGAGTCCATGGTCTCATTTAATTCGCAGATGAGGAAGAAACATGGACATCACTGGAAGCGCTTCAAGTGCACAGAATTCAAATTTTGGTTATCTGGAAAGTGAGGTCAGCGAAGAATGAAAGAAGAGAGCTGAAAACCATCGAAACCTCTTTTTGCGACAACGGGCGGCTCGAGTCGGCGCTTGCTTTGCCAATCAGCCGCAGCCACGTTGGGGCGCAAGGCAACACGAAGTGGTAGGTCCTTCGCGAATGAATGAAGGTGGAAGAATCAGGTTGCCAGGGGCCTGACTGGATTCGCAAAGTGCCGCCAGCTCTTTCCCCAATGTACCGAGTACACGAGGTATTCATCATTGCTAGTCTCAATATGCATCAACATCAAAGGGAGGATGGCCTTTTAGCTCGTGGCATAAATAAAGAGGGATAATAATCACCTCTAAATATTTGAGATGGGCAAAAAGACTGTTTGGCAGTCAAGCAAAAGCGGCTCGAGATCACGTGCTACAGGAATGCCTGGGCTCGTCGATGTTTCGTCACGTGGCCGATTAAAGCAGCCTTGCCCCCTTTCCTGATTGAAATGCTAAGGAATAAAGCACAGTTCCAGGTACCTATATATACATCGTATAGAGGTATATGGTATATAGCATTAACAGACTGGCGTCCTTGTAATATGATAAAAAGTCGCCCGAGTCTCCTCTGTCCTTCCTCTCTCACACGTCTACCTATAGTTCCTCCATACCTCCAATATTGGTGTGCCACACGCCCCCATTATCGCGTGACGCCAATAGCACCCACCCTATGCCATTTCTTTTACCCCAGGAAAGTTTTTGCCAGTATCGTCATCATCTCATCCCAAGATACAACAAATGCACATTAGCACAAAAGACCCGTTGTATCCAAGTGTTTTGTTCCTAGCCCTAGCTTCGATCTAGGGCGATGTCGTTGATGGCCAAATTCTTCTATGAAATCCTCGCCTCACCAAAATTGATAGACGCCAATGACCCAATGGACTCAATCCGTGTGTTGATAGATATCCGCTCAAATTACATGTTGGCCAATTCTCCATCAATCGCTTTGTCAAGGAAGGTGCGCCTCTCTCCGGCGGGTACCTCGCACTGCAGCCTCTGCTCCACCAGCGCCCTGACTTGCTTCTTGGTGACTTTGTCGAGATCTACCTCGGCCAGCACCGCGCGAATCGCCTCGACAATGTCATGGTCACTGGGTCCTGCCGAAGGAACGGTGCGGAAGTCCATCACTGTTGATGCTGGTCGGCTGCCTGTCATACCCACGCCCAACAGACTGGGTCTGCTGACCGAGTGTTGCATGCCACCCTGGAGGTACGGGCTGCGGCTCCGCGGGTTATCCTGGTATGGCACAGGGGAAGGAGACTTCAGCCGCATCTGGCTGCCCAAACTCATCATGCTCATGTTCCGTCCATGCAGGCTGAGGGGTTGGTCCTTGAACTGTGTAAGGCCAGTCATAGTGCTGGTGCGGTTATTGTGCATTGCCGTGAACGGTGTCGACGATCGAGGCGGTGCCATATATGGCCCTGATTGCTGGGGGAAGCCTGCCAGGATCGTGCTAGCTGGTTTGACAGATGAGTAGCTTGACTGCATGTCGTCCATCTCCATCATTGCGGCGTCATCGTGGTAGCCATACTCAAAACCCTTCTCCGGGTAAGTGCCAGAGTTTCCACGACGACCTGGCAGGTTGTTGGCAGCGGCATAGTCGTCCCACCGTTGAAGAGGAATCGATCGGGGATCGAAGCCTTCATCCTGAATAGCAACGACCTTCTTGTCACCCTTCTCTCCAATCACGATTCTCGTATTACCCCATGAAAAGTTGTCTTGATTCCAGAACGAGTAGATTGGTAGGACGAAGCTGTAAATAGGATAAGCGCAGATGTAGATGAGCATCCATCCCACGTGTTGCCATTGTCGTTTGATGATGAAGATGATTGCTTGTAAACCGTACACAGCAGCAATGATCACAATTGAGATCAGGGGAAATTGGCCGGTATGCGATGCGACTCGATAAATCAAGTATCCGAGATAGGTGCAGGTTGCAGGGAGGATCAATGTGCCGAACAAATCAATGAAGACGACAAATCTCATCGAGAAGCAGCAGAAACCACAAAGATCTTTCAAGAAGACGAGTTCGGCAAGGTTGTGAATGGTCGAGTTGATCCACCGTCTTCTCTGCGACAATAAGACGGACCAAGATTCTGGCGCGGCAGTGAGGGCGTAAGCGTCCGGGACAAACTTGTAGGACATGGACGGGAAATGCTTGGTCATCAACGTCGTGAGATATCGATCCTCGCCCAAGGACAACAGGTTCTTTTTGTGGAGAGTATCAACATCGCAGTCTGCATACTCCTGGATGACTTTGTCCGAGATGATGAGAGGCCGTCCCTTGTCAGCGGTTCGAAGGCGATACATGCAGAAACTGGTAAACAGAGGTTAGCGATGGCGAGCGAAGGTGAAAAAGGCAGAACAACATACCATCCAGGTAAACAAGTGACGCTGCCGAACAAAGACTCGAAAGCTTTGGCAAGATGATGTGAGATATAGTATTCGTAGACTTGGATCATAGTCCACAAGCTCCGTTCTTCGTTCTCCAGGCTTGTCTCACCACAGATGCCTGCAATTTTAGCATCATTGGCACATGCGGCAACCAGGCGATTAAGTGAATCTTCCTTGACCATAGTATCTGCATCAACCATGAGAAGATACTCGTACAGCTCAGGGTCGACACCGATGACGTTGTTGATCTGATGGAAAATCTCCAATTCCAGAGGAGACATGGGTGACCTGTGGTGGACACGGTTCAGGAATTGCATCAATAAGATTTGTGAGTCTCGTTTTCCGCGGTTTCCAGGCTTGGACTTTGTTTGCTCCGATTCCTTGCCGACCTTGACGATGACGATATATGGAACAACGTTGCCCTCATATTCGTAAAGCCCTGAGTACACTTTGCCGTAGTTGAGTTGCTCATTGCCATTGCCGACAGAGCGGAAGGGTAAAGCAGGTGGATCGATCTTCGGATCAACTCCAAGAACATCCAGCACAATCTTGGGTGTAGGCCTGTCGTTGCCACCACCCACGATCATCCCATCGCAAATGACACAGATTAGCTTTCTCTTATTGTCATACTGAAGGGCAGTAAGAGAATCGAGGGATTTTCTCAGGTGATCTTCACCCTCAGTATAGGCAGGGACTTGACATATGACGAACTTATCCTGTGCAGCTGGTCGGCGCTTCGACCCAAGTTGGAGCGCCGCCAAAAATTTGATCAAAATGACAGCACACAAGATCAGGGTAAAAGCCAGAAGCAGGTAGTTGTTGACTTGGCACTTTGGAGTATCGCGGAAGTCAACCTTGCCAACATAGAACGCATTGTTCATACAATTCAGACTGTTTGCGAAGGCGGCATCCGTTCCCCATTGGCTCGTAATATCCTCGCCCGGGTTGCCGGTGATCAGGTCTGTCACCTCCTCCGGGAAAAACTTGTATGTGACAAAGTCGTTCATGACATTCAAGGTGTAGAAATAGTCGGTGAGATCGTATATGTTCTGGTGGATGACTACCCACTGCCTCTGGTCGGTCTCAGCTTGTTTCTTGATACTGCCCTTTGTAACGACCAGGTCTCCTTTGAAATAGTCCTTGATTTTGGGAAGGAAGGTGTCACTGTACCAATCCCAGCTATACAATGCTGATTGTTGATCTGGCTGATAACGATGACCGGAGGTGTGGACAGCATTTGGGTACAGAACGGCGTTGGTGTCATTGTGTTGCAGTTGGACACTCTCGTCGACATTCAGACCCGGACAAGCTCGACTCAGCGGTGGTGGAAAATATGCATCCAGGTTCATGCCCGCCAATGGAAGCATATTCTGCGCGTTAGTTTTGATAGCGGTGTCGCTGTGTTGGATTGGATAGAACTTGGTGATATCGTAAACTTTGCCCCGAATGCTGACATAAAAGTCATTCGTACCTGTATGGAAACCGACCTCTTTTGCATTCCAGGCCTTGTCAAAGTTTGGGCAGAGAAGCCTTCCAAACTCGATAATGTAGAAGACGATGAGGCCGTTCAGCAGGAAAATAAGGAACACCAACACCACTTTCTCTCGCCAGGCCATGCGCACATCAGGACGCTTCATGCGACCGATATATCGCAGGGCGATGGAGGGTATCCACCAAGTTAGCGCCCAGACGAGAGATACCCAAGCCTGTCTTCCAGCAGACGTCTTTTTAGACTCCACGTTCCGAGGATCAGCGAGCTCTGGATCCATGCCACCGACATATTGCCCGAGGTCTGGATCATAGACTGCGTCCTTGTGATCGTCGCCTTTTGGTCCAAGGCCGTAGTCGCCGCCAACTGTGTGCATCGTGCGTGCCATTGTCGGCGCAACTGATTTGGCTCGCTCTGTTGCGGCTTGCGCAAGCAAATTCTCCCGACTATCTTGAATGCTCATATTATCGCCCATCGGCGGGAAGAAGCCACTGCCGTTGTGAGGAGTATTGGCAGAGTAATTTGTTGCAAAGGGGTTGAGCGGCTGGCCGAAGGTAGGGTCATCAGAGAAGCCACCTTCGATAGGTTTCATGTCGAGCATTGACTCAGCCTCCCACCAGGCACTTTCACGCATCCAGATCCGTTCTCGCCCGATGATGACTTCTCCATTTGTCCAGCCTCTTTCTAGCAAGAAGCTTTCTACCCCATCTCTGCCGTCTTTGCAGCCGAGTCGGGAGTACCTTGTCACGAACTCTTCAACATCGAAATCAGCGGTAAAGTCGAGCCGCCGATTGCGGTGATTTGCCCATTCCGGAAGTCTCCATGCTCGTAATTGTCTCGATACCGCTCCTGCAGACCACGCGGAAGTGGTCGAGGTAAGAGCAGCCAAAGCACTTGGCATGTCATCAGTAGGGTGGATAGAGAGCTGATACCATGCTCGACTGCTAGCGAGAGTAGCTCCCAGATCAAAGCGGCCTTTCCGGCCAAAATTCAGACCTTCACCATCGACTGGGTAAAGCAATGTGCGAAGAAATCCTCCAGCCTCCGCCTCAGCACCGATTTTCTCGAGGATGCCTTCTCGTCGATCCCGGTCGTGCTCTCTCTCCCGACTAAGCGGTCCTCCTTTGATACCCAGGTCAGCTTCGACCTCCGCAATTGCAGAGTTCATTTCCTTGAGGACAGAGTGGCCAGCAGAAACAACCTCAACCCCATCGTCCTTCATTTCGGCGTTTATACCTTGGGTGTCATCGAAGACATTTCGTAGAGCCACAGCCTTTCCGAGTGGCTCGCCAGGGATTTCGATAACTGTGAGGCTGACTTCATCACCGGCTTGGGTACTCGAATCAGGTGTCAGGGCGCCGGAGCGTAACTCGGCAGCAATGGCATCGTTGGCCTTGCCAAGTACCCAGTCCACCAGAGCCTCGTACATGCCTGCAATCAATACTTCACGATCATCTGTGGAGCACTTCTTAACGAGCACTTCGGGCTCCAATCCAATCAAACCGCCAACATCTTCGCATATATCTTCGAGGACGTCAGCATCAACCAGGAATCCGGTTGTTTCGCCCAGCTTCAACAACCCAGCAAGACATGACAACAGTCCTCGGAAGGACGAGCCTTTAATGCCAATCGATTTCAAAGCTGAACGGAAGTCTTCAGCGGCAGCGGCGTCATCGGCTGTTGGAAGGTATTTAGGCGGATCGTAGTAACCAGATCTGTTTAACAGGGTGTATTTGGATGGATGTTGCAACCCTAGGAACTCCCGCTCAGCTGGAGTGGATGCCGACGTCAGAAGGTAGTAGAAGACGTCAAAAGCACGATGACCGGGCTCGGATGGGATCTTCAGCAGCCCCCTTTCCACATCAATGCCCGAGCCAGACAAGGCGAGCGTGAAGCCAGTCACCGTTCCGGCAAGAGTGACGGTATATTTGGCGGCAAGAGAGGAATGTCTATACGTGGTTGGGTTGAGAGGCGTGACACAAGAGAGGAATGGACGCAAGGCCGAGAGAGCAGTGTACGCAATTTCTGGAGTGGGTAGAGGAATGACCTGCAGAAATGCTTGCAAGAGCGAAGGTGTCGAGGGATGCAGGGATCCCAGAATGATACATCCATCTTCGGCTCTTCGTCTGGCATGTTCCCAAGCTCTTAAAGCGAGATCTGCATCGACAGTACCACCTACCCGTCCTTGGGCATCAGGATTGATCGCACTGAGCCATGTGTTCACCGAAATGCTCGTGCTCGAGTCGAGTTGGTAAGTTTGGCCGGAGGCATAGATCGTGTGTAGGGAGTTGAGAAGAGTAGTAGTCGAGACTTGGGTAGGCTGTTGAGCCGCTGTTCGGGCAGCACCAACCTGCGAAGAGTTGTTCGAGTACGTCGAGTACCGGTTCGCCATGTTGAGGCGAAATTGGGCCCCTGTCGAGCAAAGGGGTCGACCGGCCCTCTGTCAACCACTCGCAGTATTGATTAAGATACAGAATGACACTGCAAATATGTTCAAGGCCTCCTCTTGCAAATTTGTAGCGTCAATCAAGGCGGTTGAACCAGGCTGAGATCGTGGGCGGTTCAGGGAAGGGATGGAATAGGAGCGAGTCGTGTCAAATCGTCAATGCAGCATTTCAGAACGTGAAAAGGGGAGGGTAAAAAGATCCCAAAGCGATGGACTGGCAAATGCTGGCTAGATCTGCTGCAAATAGATTGTACAATGTAAAACGAGAGTAATGTTTGTAAGTCGTTAACGAAGGTGCAGAGGATGAGCGAAGGGGAGCGGGAGCAGGAGGTTGTCGACAAGGCCAACATGGGCCCCGAACACGGCGGAGTGCATCCAAACGTTGTTTTTCCAGGTTAGGGGACTGTGTATTGATCGTTACCCATACCACAGCCTGACGACAGAATATTGACCCATGCCCAGCTCCTCCTCGATCCGCAGCCACGGTCACGCCGGGTCAAGAATAGCAGCCAATCTGTGGCGCCACCTGGGCCTGGGCACCCATTTTTCCGTACTTGAGCCCCGGACATTTGCTGGGCGTTATACTGCTCTAGGCCTAAGCCACTCGGGTTGCTGCAGGGGAGCCCGGGAGGTTAAACAGCCTGTCAATCTTGTCCAGGCCAATCACACCAACGGTCAATGTGCTCCATGGCAACGGACGCGGAAAAGTCAACAAAGCCGCCTGTCAAGCTCGCGTCAAGAATGAGAACCACTTTACGTACGACGCAATAATGAGTCTCCCAGCAAGGTGTTGATGACGGTGTCCCATGTCAAATTTAGTGATGAGACACGGTCATGGATTTAGGACTCGTACAAATACTCGTACCAAGTGAAATGTTTCGATGGAAGAGCAGAAAAAATCCATTTCGCTTGTCCTAGTTTCAGTTTGTTCCCACTCGTTGCCCAATGTTTGGTGGTCGGGTTGCACACGGAATTATTTTGCCTCAAACCAGCGCAGGGCCCAAGCGACGGCGCGGTCACGTGATGGCGATTCGGTCAGCATGTGGCACGCTTCTGCACCGTCTCGCCCACCTGCAGAATGCATGCTGCATGTCCACTCGCATTTGTCTCAGTTGGTCTTACCGGCGACCGGGCTGCATGTGTGTGTCCGTGGTCAGCCTCCAAACCATTACGATTCCGAAGATGGGGTCATGCGCTTATCAATAGCGGCAAAGGATGAGCTTTCGGATAATCCTGTTTGCTTCTGGTGTTGCCTCAGGATGGGTAAATTTGTGTGGAGAGGAAGGAGGAGAAAAGGAGTGCGCTGCCCACAGCAAAAGAACCACTTTAAAAAATTTGGAAATATAATAACGGTGACCCCTTTTCTTGTCCTGGTGCTTCTGGCCTCGAATTGGGGTGTCTGTAGACGACTATCCAGGTACATACGTACGAGTAAAGAACATCCAAGTGCCTTCCTCGTATGTTGCGTTACGTCGGAGATCCAAGCACCCAGTGCCGATCCCAAATAGTATGCATGCGGTGCCTGTTCTGCTGGCCGCATACTGGGCGCATGTACCTGGTACGGACGATGCATTCCAGCTCTGTTTTTATTGGATAGCGAGGGATGTATTTGCTTCGCAAAGGACAATCCCCCAACCTCCTCCCCGTATGACTGCTAGACTCCAATGCTCTTTTCGCTCGCCGCGCAGCAACTCCGACTGATGGCTGTGACCCATCCCGGCCTCGAAAGACTCCGTAGAGGAAAGCTCGAAGGTGGCCTTGGAGGTAACTAGATGGCTAGATAGGGTGTGCATGACAATAAGGTCAGATTTCAGGCGAGGTGAACAACTCACAAGACCGTCATCACTACCCTATACTTGGGGCCCGGAGTTTTATAGTAGAAACTCTCACCTGTCAGCATCATTGGACAGTACAGCCTGAGTCAACACCCACTGCTGGAGAGGGAAACGTGTGCGGCGCAGTGTACGCTTCACTGTCGGGTTGGTGAGATCTCAGACACTGAAAAAGCCTAAACCGCAACCATGCCGGGGTGTGAAAATGACCTGTTGAGTGTTTTGTTTGTAATGACGATTACAAACTCCGCCCATCTTCTTTATCCACCAGAAACCACAGTCCTGGTCTCAAACCCCCCTTGCGCGAAGCCAATTCTGTTGCTTTTGCTGTTCGCTCATCTCAACATACTTCACATTGATTTCATGTATGTTGGTTCTTTCACTCACAATCTTTGATACGACTTGACGAACTCTCGCTATTATTCTCTCGCTCTGCATATTGGTTACACCGGCACATATTGACGCTCGTTGCCCCCTTACGATCACAGTTGCGAACTCGCAAACCCTCTCTTCCAACTCAACAACTGCCCGAAGACGCAAACTTCGTTCGATGAATTGAGAGCTTCAGTGATCAGTACGGCGGTGAGCCGACTCGTGGCTCGTCTGTTGACATATTGTGACGCGTTCAATACATCTCAATCAGAATGGCTGCTCGTGGCAATGTTCCTGCCCACTTGCAGGCTTCATTGCCTGCACTCCCTCCTCATTTACAATCAGATACCCATCTGACGGCCCACCTGGCAAGCCGATTCCATGTCTCTCTCCCAACAGCGAAATTATCCTCGCAAGCGTTGATATGCCTCAATACATATACCTCATCAACTAGGGGACCAAATGGTGAAAAGGAAGGAAGTGCCATGGGCGAGGCTGAGGATCTTGCCCGTAGGGCATGGGCAAGACTGGGAAATAGAGCAGAAGATCAGGCTATTGTGTTCTTGTATGTCTGCTGAATATCAACATGGTTTTGCTATCCTGCTAATTGTGCGACAGCGGAGAATCAGGGTCGGGCAAAACGACTGTCAGGTCACACCTACTTTCCTCCTTCCTTTCTTTCTCGTCCACGCCACTATCCTCCAGGTTGTCCCTCGCCGCCTTCGTCTTCGACACCTTGACTACAACCAAAACTACCACTACCCAAACAGCATCAAAGGCTGGGTTGTATTACGAACTCCAGTATGACGCATCGTCATCGATTCCCACTCTCATTGGGGGCAAGTTGTTAGACCATCGCTTGGAAAGGAGTCGAATCTCACATGTACCGACTGGCGAAAGAAGCTTTCATGTGCTCTACTATCTTTTGGCTGGAACAAGTGCGGCAGAAAAGTCTCATCTCGGCCTCAATGGTCACACAAATATCACCACGTCAGGCACAGGCCTGACAAGGTCTGCCTCCGTGGCACAGAAACGATGGAGATATCTGGGCCACCCAACGCAAATGAAGGTGGGCATAAATGACGCGGAAGGTTTCCAACATTTCAAAACGGCTTTGCGAAAGCTGGAATTCCCTAGAGCCGAAATCGCCGAAATCTGTCAAGTCCTTGCTGCCATTCTGCACATTGGCCAACTCGAATTTGGCACCGGCCAGGCGACATTGACTGCGGCTGAAGAAAGTGGTGGATACTCTCATGAAGGTGGCGAAACAGTCACGGTGGTCAAGAATACTGACACTTTGGCTCTCGTCGCGGCCTTTCTGGGACTGAGTGTCCAGGATCTGGAAGAAAGCATGAGGCACAAGACAAAGACACTCCACCGAGAGCGTGTCACTGTTATGTTGGATCCAAAGGGCGCTCGCGAGAACGCTGACGAACTCGCAACGACACTATACTCGCTCCTGGTTGCATACATCATCGAAAGCATCAACCAAAGGATCTGTGCCGCAGAAGACTCTGTTGCCAATACTGTTTCCATTGTTGACTTCCCAGGTTTTGCGGACCATTCCTCTACTGGTTCTGTTCTAGACCAGTTGTTGAATAATGCTGCCAATGAGTCACTCTACAACACGTGTCTTCACGGTTTCTTCGAAAAGACGGCCGAGATGCTGGAAAGCGAAGAAGTCAGCGTGCCTGCAACCAGCTATTTCGATAACTCTGACGCTGTCCGAGGTCTGCTCAAGCATGGCAACGGTCTACTTGCCATCCTCGATGATCAGACACGTCGTGGTCGAACGGACACACAGTTTCTGGATAGTATTCGAAAGCGATTTGAGAACAAGAATAAAGCGATCACGGTCAGCCGCGCCACTACAACCTTACCTGGTAGCAACTTCGCCACGACGAATCTTTCTGCATCTTTCACGGTCCGTCACTATGCTGGTGAGGTTGATTATCCAGTCAATCGTTTGGTCGAAGAAAACGGTGATGTGGTGTCTGGTGACCTGATGAACATGGTCAGAGCTACTAAAAGTGATTTTGTGGCTAGCTTGTTCGGTCAAGAAGCCTTGAACACTGTCAGCCACCCGTCAGAGAAGACGGCTATCGTGCAAGCCCAAGTCAGCTCAAAGCCGTTGCGCATGCCCAGTCTCTCCCGGAAGAAGCATGATCAGCTGCGCCGGATGGGCAGTCGCAGAGCAGATCGCTCGCCTGCTCTACAGGAAGACGCTGAATCCACACATACTCCGGAAGAGGCCAGGACCAGAAAAACAAAGGCTTTTGCGACAGGATTGACCCAAGGCGCAGCAGCACAGTTCCTCTCATCTTTGGATAATATTACGAAATCGCTGACCGCACCCAACGTCAACAACTATTTCGTGTTTTGCTTGAAACCAAATGATAGGCGGATCGCCAATCAATTCGACAGTAAATGTGTTCGTCAACAGGTTCAGATGTTTGGGATACCCGAAATCAGCCAACGTCTTCGGACTGCTGATTTCAGTGTGTTCCTCCCTTTCGGTGAATTTCTGGGTCTGACTGACGCTGATACTGGCGTCGTCGGAAGTGATCGCGAGAAGGCGCAGCTTGTTCTGGACAACAAACAGTGGCCCGGGAACGAGGCAAGAATCGGCAATACCGGTGTGTTTCTCAGCGAACGCTGCTGGGCAAGTATTGCCCTCACAGGGTCACAGAGCACCGCCTACTTTGGCGGCGAGGTTCCCGCCATTTCCAGGCCTGATACGCCAAGTGCCAACCCCTTCAACGATTCCAAAGCTCGATTAGTTGCCTCACACGAAGGAACCCCCGGCTCCTTCTATGGTGACGAAACGAAAGGAGGGGGTTACTTCGGCAGTCGAGAACTTGACGCCAAATCTGATGCCGGCGCCTCTGCTTTCAACTCTGGAGATATGTTCCGCAATCTCGAGACAAAAGAAGAACTAGCCGAAAAAGGCAACAGAAAGAAGATGGAAGAAGTCGATGTTGTACCCGTTTCGTCGTCACGTAAAAGGTGGCTGGCGGTAGTCTACTTCCTTACCTGGTACCTCCCAGATTTTGCGATCAAGTGGGGTGGAGGCATGAAACGGAGGGATGTGAGAATCGCTTGGAGGGAGAAGTTCGCCATCAACATCCTCATCTGGCTCAGCTGTCTCTTCGTGGCCTTTTTCATTGTCGTCTTTCCTCAGCTCATCTGTCCAAAGCAAGACGTGTATTCAGCAGCGGAGCTGTCGTCACACGACGGTAAGAACGGTCACAGCGCCTATACGGCTATACGAGGCGTAGTCCTCGATCTAGGTGCCTTCGCACCTTCTCACTACCCGAATATCATCCCACAAACGTCGCTTGAGAAGTATGCTGGTTTGGACGCAACGGGACTGTTCCCAGTTCAGGTCTCGGCTCTTTGCCAAGGAAAAGACGGCCGAATTGATCCCGCCGTTCAGTTGGATTATACGACAACAAATATCTCTGGTTCTGCCACAGTCATCAGCACCACTGACCCCAATCGCCGGTACCATGACTTCCGCTCTTTCACCAATGACTCACGCCCAGACTGGTTTTTCGAGCAGATGATCATGTTGAAAGCCAACTACAAGAAGGGAAGTATTGGATATACTCCACAATATGTGCGCACCCTTGCCAAAAAGTCACGTTCTATTGCGATATTAAACGACAGGGTCTACGACTTCACCACCTACAACCAAGGTGGGCGCAGCACTAGGGCTCCTGCGGGTCAAACAGTTCCGGCCGGAGTTGACACCAACTTTATGGATGACCTTGTAGTTGAGCTATTTACACAACGGGCGGGACACGACGTCACGAAATACTGGAACGCTCTTTCCATGGACTCTGCGCTGAGAAGTCGGATGCAGCTCTGTCTTGACAATTTGTTCTTTGTCGGCGTCACGGATACCAGAAACTCGGCGCAATGTCTCTTCGCCCGGTATATCCTCCTAGCTATTTCCATCCTGCTTTGTACCGTGATTGGATTCAAATTTTTGGCTGCACTCCAGTTCGGAGGCAAGAACATACCCGAAAACCTCGACAAGTTTGTCATCTGCCAGGTTCCTGCGTATACGGAAGACGAAGAGTCTCTTCGTCGAGCTATCGACTCAGCAGCGCGGATGCGATACGATGACAAACGCAAACTCCTCATCGTGGTCTGCGACGGAATGATTATCGGTCAAGGAAACGATCGACCAACACCTCGCATTGTGCTTGATATTCTGGGTGTGTCAGAAACAGTCGATCCGGAACCACTGAGCTTCGAATCTCTAGGTGAGGGTATGAAGCAACACAACATGGGCAAGGTATACTCTGGTCTGTACGAAGTGCAAGGACACATTGTTCCCTTCTTAGTTGTTGTCAAGGTCGGCAAACCCTCGGAAGTCTCCAAACCTGGAAATAGAGGGAAACGTGACTCCCAGATGGTTATCATGCGCTTCCTGAACCGAGTTCATTACAACATGCCCATGAGCCCGCTAGAACTGGAGATGCATCATCAGATCAGGAACATCATCGGGGTCAACCCAACGTTCTACGAATTTATGCTCCAGATTGATGCTGACACAGTTGTGGCTCCCGACTCGGCTACTCGCATGGTTTCGGCATTCCTGCGCGACACAAGGCTGATCGCTGTTTGCGGAGAGACCTCACTCTCTAACGCCAAAGCATCTTTCATCACGATGATGCAGGTGTACGAGTACTACATTTCGCACAATCTCACCAAGGCATTCGAGTCGTTGTTTGGTTCTGTCACATGTCTACCGGGTTGTTTCACCATGTATCGAATCCGAGCTGCAGAGACGGGAAAGCCACTTTTTGTGAGCAAGGAAATCATCCAGGACTATTCTGAAATCCGAGTCGACACCCTCCACATGAAAAACCTGTTGCATCTTGGTGAGGATCGATACTTGACCACTCTGCTCTTGAAACATCACTCCAAATACAAGACCAAGTACATCTTCCACGCCCACGCCTGGACCATCGCACCCGACAGTTGGAAAGTGTTCATGTCTCAGCGACGCCGATGGATCAATAGTACTGTCCACAACCTCGTCGAACTGCTGCCACTGCAGCAGTTGTGCGGTTTTTGTTGTTTCAGCATGCGGTTTGTGGTGTTCCTGGATCTGTTATCGACAGTCATCGCCCCTGTGACGGTGGCTTATATTGTCTACCTCATTGTGCTACTCTCTACTTCATCCGACGTTATTCCCTTGACAGCCTTCATCTTATTGGGCGCAATCTATGGTTTGCAAGCCATCATCTTCATCCTTCGCCGCAAATGGGAAATGATCGGGTGGATGATTGTGTACATTCTGGCCATGCCCGTCTTCTCTCTGGGTCTGCCTCTGTACTCGTTCTGGCACATGGACGACTTCAGTTGGGGTAACACGCGTCTTGTGAACGGTGAAAAGGGTAAACAGATCTTGATCTCTGACGAGGGCAAGTTTGACCCCGACTCGATCCCAAAGAAGAAATGGGAAGAGTACCAGGCAGAACTCTGGGATGCGCAAACCCAACGGGACGACGAAAGATCCGAGATCTCGGGCTACAGCTATGGCACCAAGTCGTACCATCCTGCCGCATCCGTCTATGGCGGTGGTCCTGGCCTGTATGAAAGCAGCGCACATCTCATGGCTCCCTCTAGGTCTGTCTCACAGCTCGACATCCACCCACCAACATATGAAAGAGGATACAGCCATTCCAGGATGTCTCTCGCGCCTTCGGACATGATGGGCGGCGGCATGATGGCAGGTGGTCAATCCGTGGCCGACATGGATATGGCCGACTTGACCGGATTGCCCACTGATGACATGATTCTGAATGAAATCAGGGATATACTCAAGACGGCTGACCTCATGACCGTGACGAAGAAGGGCATCAAGCAAGAATTGGAGCGGAGATTTAATGTAAATTTGGACATTAAGCGAGCGTATATTGGAAGTGGTAAGTAATGCTCCTTGCTCGAACCTTGGGCAGGAAAGCTAACATCTGGCGCAGCAACGGAAGCCATTCTCTCGGGTCAACTGTGATTCATCCGCACAATCTAGCGTCTGTCCTGCTCTAGCGACATGTTTCAATGGCAGATTGCAGGAGTTTAGGATGAGTAAACTAAAATGGTTGGTATTGGTAGACATTTGGTTGGAGGAGAAAGGACTCCATGGCTAGGTATAATCACTGAGGGAGCGATGAATTGCAGCATTTGTAATCGATAGGGAGACAGAAGGGCATCAAAACAGCGTAGATGGAGGTGGATTTCCAGGAATCTGCCATGTATACCAACATTTTATGCCTTAGAGTGTTAGTCTTCTACGAATTTCGGGACTCGTGGTACGGGCGCCCAATCCTGTCCAATCGCGTACCTTGTAAATCAGTCGAGAATCGCATCAAGTAGGCCAGAGTGAAGAGGGAGGGTTGATTAGCGGGGCTGAAGAATGGTGGTTGCTCGCTTAATGCAATAGAGGAGCTGAACAAGCTCACCAAGCTTTTTGTTGAAGCTTTTAGAGAGGGAGGCCTTACGAGTTCAAGTCCGGCCCCAGGCGGCTCCAAAGGGCTTAGGCTGGCCCAAAGCCCCTAACGGCCCCTAGAATCCCCGCTTTGGCAGGATGCCGTCATCATGAAATAACCCCCAAGTGCCCCCCTTCAGCCCCCATGGTGCCAATGACGCCCCAATCAAGGCCCAGAATGACCAAGGCTGCTGGGCATCGCTCACACGACAAAGGATCGAGTCCAAACTTACAGGCCAATGGCCGGGACGCTTGGTTGTACCTTTCAGGATTCAGGGTTGGCTTGCGTGGCCCTCAGTGATCTGGCCCTGATCCTTCTCTCTTCCCGCGAACCCACCGAGAGCTGCCCTCCAGGGCCACCTGTAACAAGGAATCCATCACATCCCTCGGTTGCGACTCTGTTCAGATTGCGCCACGACGCACAGAACTAAAAAGGCAGTCTCAGCGCCTTGGACCTCTGGGGCGCTTCAACCATTCTCCCTCGAGTGACGCCACAGCTTGCTGTCGCGATGATACCCAAGGGGATCTACGACCTCTGTCAGAACCGCGAGTCGATTACATCGCAATTGGCCCAGGATCCGTCCATTTCCCCTCATGCGGCTGCCAAAAAGCTGTTTGGTGTCGATATCGACGACGAGGTGGTTACCAGGAAATTGGACCTGGGAAAGGAAGAACCAAGTGATCTGGAAGAAGCCCGAAAGTGTGGCCAATGGGGTACATCCAATCCCAGCGATTTGTTTCTGAGAGTGAGACGACCTCTTGACTGCAACGATGCCGCAAAGCCCGACCCTGACTCTGTTGCTAGATCTATCATGATGTCCTGTGCACACTGGAAAAGAATCCTTTGGTGGGCGTGTGCTCGCCATCGCTCCTCGGAAGCAATGGAGTGTGCCCGCTCACAATCATGGCGACGGTTCCCGATATCTGCCGACACATGTCCAACGTGATCGCGAGGGCAGAACAAGAGGTCTTCCTGGCGACCAACTTTTGGATGTATTCAGAACCTACCCGGCTGATCACCAACGCGCTGAGAGAGCTTTCGAGAAAGGCCGTCCTGACCAACCGCCGGGTCGTCGTCAAGATCATCTACGATCGGGGAAGTGCGAAACAGGTGAGTTGACGTCCTGCCCGCTGGCACACATTCATTGACAGCACGAGCTTGTAAAAAACCACCTCATCGTGCCACCCAGCGAATTTGCAGATCCCAATGGCAAAATCCGAATACCCCATCCTGATGAGCTGCCAAACATAGATATCGAAGTCATGAATTTCCATCGACCAATGTTTGGGACATTTCATGCCAAATACATGGTTGTGGATCGGCGAATTGCGATATTGCAGAGCAACAACATCCAAGATATCGACAACCTGGAGATGATGACGCAATTTGAAGGACCAATTGTTGATTCATTCTATGATGTTGCGCTCATCTCATGGCACAATGCTCTCAAGCCACCGCTACCGCTGTTGAGCCGACCTACTGCGGATTGTTCGATTCCCACTTTCACGAGCGACAGTTATGCGACCATGTTCGACGAAAGCGGAAAGTTGGTTCCCGTGTATCAAGCGTAAGTTGGACGCACTGAGATATGTGCCTGCGTAGCGCTGACCTTGACACAGACCCACGCCAATCCCTGACGGCCACGAGAGCCTTCGAGAGATTGCCGAGCATGGATCGCAGATGGATTTGCCCCAGCACACATCACACGAGCCCCACTACGACCCTGACATCAAGTCTGAGGTGCTACGCGCTGTAGCATGTTTGAATCCACGGGAGGGCGAGACACGGATAAACGCGATCACCCGCCTGCTGAACACGACGATTCAACCTGACACGAAAGGGAGCGCAGCGGATATTGAACCAGCTGATACCATGACGCCACTCATTCCGATTCCACGACATGATCCTTTCCCGATGGCCATGGTCTGCCGACAGCCATGGGGAGCGCCCACCAAGCACTGCTTGTACACCCCGCAAAATGCAGCCTTCATGTCTGCCCTCCGTCATGCGGCAAAGTCGGTTTTTATCCAGACCCCAGACTTGAATGCCGAAGCCCTCCTACCCGAGATTGTTGCAGCTTGCCGACGAGGGGTCAAGGTCACCTACTACTATTGTCTGGGATACAACGATGCGGGAGAACTGCTGCCCATGCAGGGCGGACACAACGAAATGATCGCAAACGGACTGTATCGCGACGTGGGACCCGAATATCGCGATAACCTGGACATCTACGCCTACGTCGCCAAAGACCAAATCCATCCCATCCACAACAAATTCAAGCAGCGGTCATGTCACATCAAGCTGATGATCGTGGACGGCCACATTGGAATTCAGGGTAACGGTAACCAGGACACGCAGAGTTGGTATCACAGCCAGGAAGTCAACATCATGATTGACAGCCCACTGGTCGTGGGCAAGTGGATGGAAGGAATCCGACAGAATCAAAACACGCACCTCTACGGCAAAGTCGAGAACGAAGGACCTGATGCTGGATGTTGGAAGGATCCGAGAACTGGACAGCAGGCCGAGGGTGCCATTGGTGTCGACCCAGGCAAGTTTGCATGGGCCAAGGGGGTTGTTGGTGCTGTACAACGGGTACGAGGAATGGGTGGGTTTTGAGTTGAGCTTGTCGCGAATGTTTTCACGATCGGTATGACGGGGTATTGGCTATTCGAGAGTATTTTGGGGGAATCTGAGTATTTTTGTTTGTGGTGAAAGAATATACGAGCGATGGATGGTTTCAAGCACAAGTATCTATTCCATCTACCTACCCTATAAGCCTGTGATTTGGACATGATGTACATACGAGCAGCTCTTTGCGCCATTTCATGACAATTCAATCTATCTCCTTCTCTACTTCTGCTCTGATTAAGATCTCAGACTCTCTGTCCCCGCCCCTCCACTTGCACCATTGTAACGGAGCACCCGTCTGTTATCGTCGTCGTTATTGCTATTGTTTGGTTCTTCTTCTTCCCGTTGACGCACTCAGCAGCAGCAGCAGCCGCCGCCGCCATTCAGCTGACAGGATTTCCCGGATTTTTTGTCGCACCCGACCGCGAAAAACCTTTGGGCGATTGATTGGCCCCCGGGCCTGGCTGGTTTTCAGCTCTGCATTGGAGGCAGTGACACCTGGACCAGCGACATCTTGTGTCCAGTGTCTGGTGTCCAGTGTCTGGTAGAATCCGCTGCAGGGAGAGTTAAGTCCCGCCCAGCCCAGGCAGCCACCGACTAACACTGTCCAGAAGTTCCGTGTAACACACCTTTGGTGCTGCAAGATTCATGATTGTCGGCAAACTCTTACAGGGATGGTGTCGGTGCGAGGTCGAGACTCGTCCAAATGGCCAACTCGACTCAGTTATGCGTTTGTGCGTCAGACGTGTCCTTGCGAGACTGTGGCTTGCGTTCATGGATGAGCAACGGGGTGCAGGTGCTGGTGCGGGTGCGGGTGTGGGTGATGTTGCTCTTCTTGGAGGAGGAGGTATGTACTGCATGTAAGGCTCTGCTATAAATGCCCTTGGTCCCTACACCTCGTGGACATTCTCAAGTTCAATCGCCCTTGGATCCTATTTCGCGTTCATAGAGCAGCTTCATACAGAAAATATCACGTCGATCAAGCATCAGCAATGGTCTCTCACGAGTTCAGGCGAGTCCCGCCTCCTCAGGCCTCCATGGGCCATCGGCTCCCCCAGGACCGGGCCCATATCAAACAATGGCTCGCCACCAAGCTGGAACAGCTCGAGAAGAGGCGACAGCTTCACAAAAAGGCCTCTGTCACGCTGGACCCCAGCATCGTCGCCCTGCAACAACTCGTCGCGGCCAGCCCCAACCTCACCAAACTCTCTAGTGACATGTTCACCCAGATTCCCCCTGCCTACAAGGACGACCCTACTGGCAAGCCCCAAGTTCGTGATTTCGACACGATGCTTGGACTCGTCGACATGATTCTCAAAGAGGGACCACAATGGTTTGACATTCAGGACCCGCCGACTGCCATGGGGTTGATCGGGTTTCCCATCAACGCGATTCTGGACTGGCCGATGGGCACCTTAGCGGGTTACCTCTTTTTCTTGGACAGCCAGGTCAACAGCATGTGGCGAGGCATCCTGAACGTCTGGGGCTCATTCCTCGAGAGTCCCGCGTCGACCAGTTGTCTCAACGAAACCAGTGGGTGGCTTTCTGCTGATGCTTTGAACATTCTAGCCGCCAAGGGGAATGATGGCAAGACAGATTACACATTCCAGCAGCTATATGTCTGCAACCCGTCCCTTCCATTCTTTGGGTTTGGTTCCTGGGATCAGTTCTTCACTCGAAAGTTCAACCCTGGGATCCGGCCCATCGCCTTTCCGGACAATCAACCCACAGCAGAGCAGCCGGATCCGACGCGAGTCATTGTCAATGCTTGCGAGTCGACACCTCTCCAATTCGCCACCAACGTCAAGCTGCACGATACCTTCTGGCTCAAGGAGCAGCCGTACTCTTTGGCTGAGATGCTGGACAATCATCCCTGCACCGAGCAGTTTGTGGGTGGATCGGTGTATCAGGCATTCCTGAGCGCCCTGTCGTATCACTGTTGGCACTCGCCGGTATCTGGGAAAGTGGTGGCCATTCGCCAGGTGCCAGGGTCGTACTACTCGGAGAACCTCTCGCAGGGTTTCGATCCAGGATCACCCGACGCCGCCGCCCCGAATAACTCCCAACCGTATATCTCGGCCGTGGCAGCACGCGGAATCATTTTCATCCAAGCCGACAACCCTCAAATCGGACTGATGGCCATCGTGTTCATCGGCATGGCGGAGGTGTCTTCCTGCGAGTTTACCGTCAACGTAGGGGAGCGGGTTGACAAGGGCCAGTCGATTGGTATGTTTCACTTCGGAGGCTCAACCCACTGCATGATATTCAGGCCGCAGACGAATTTGTTCAGCCACAACTTTGTCAACCCGCCGCCATGGGACCCTAATGCCTCGACCAACCTACCTGTCTGTAGTGCGCTGGCTGTGATAACGCCGCCTTCAGGTGGCGATTGAAGGAAGGACGGAGGAATATCAATGGATCACGAGCAATACCAAGGGGTTCACGGTATCTGGCGAGCGGGTCAGAGATTTGATAGTTGGTCAGTAGCAGATAGTCTTTTGTTTACCTTGGCACGTGCTTGGGTGCCGTGGGTGCCAGATACTTGCGGCATCAATTCCGCTTTTCCTCCAATACATTGCGCCATCCTTTCTCCAATATCAGGCTCGTTCCACTTTCCTTGAAGACTCTGCTGAGCAAAGCACGGCAGATGCATCGGCTGCTTACCTAGTACCTAAACTTGAACAACCATCGGACACTGAAGCCGGAAACTGGGGTTTGTTTCCGGTGGGGGGCCTTAAGAGGAGGAAATACAGGACACACTCATCATACATACCTACACCTACGAGGTACACATACAAGAAAGATTGGGGCCACCATGGGGACAGGTCCAGATGAAATGCTCGTTCCTGCGACATCGGCAAACAAGCAACCAGTGCCCAACCCCACACACCGAGAGTGATGGACAAGCAGAACCAAGCTCGCCGCCCACACACACAACACACATACCCCCTCCGCCCTTGATTTCCCTTCTGGTTATTCGTTCGAGCTTCATTGACTGGCCGAGCTATTTCTCCATTCCATCAAGAGCCGAATCAATGCGCCATAATAACCCTGAACAAGTAGTTGCTGGGACCTTTTACCCCAGTAGATCCCCTTGCCGCCATCCTCGGCCAGCATCGGGACACCACCGCCTCTTCCTTTGTTGCCCATTGAGTATTTGAGTGAATGGCACTGCGATATTTGAACTGAACCACCCGTCTCTCTGGTTCCCCCTTCCAGTCTCAGCTCTAGTTTGTTGTGCATCACGCGTCCAGAGTTTGTTGCTTGATTTGGACCTCTCTCCGTTTGACCCACGAGCTTGCCTGCGGGAACTGCCCATCATACAGAGCAGGACAACCACTTGCAGACCGAGCTCCGCCATGAGTTCGTACTTGAAATCGTACGCCTGGCCTGTTTGCGCTGATAGAGGGTGCAAACATGCAGACTGACCATGACTCGACCAGACCTTACACCACCTCAACCGCCTTCTTCGAGGCCATCTCGGAGGTAAACCCCCCTGGAGAATTGACTTGTCCCGTGAATGTGTCCCGTTTCACTGACATCAAACCGCAATGCGCAGGCCGGCATCACTCATGTCTTTGTCAACCTGGGCTCGGACCACCCGTCCATCATGGAGGCAATCACCAAAGGCCAGAGGGAAAAGGGAGTGAACTTCCCCAGAGTCATCACCTGCCCCAATGAGGTACGCAAGGAAAGATGGGAGAAAGATGAGTGCTGGTGCGGCACTCTTAGGAGCTCTGGATGTGAAGGCTGAAACATGAGGAATCTCATATAGATGGTTGCGCTGTCCATGGCCGACGGCATGGCGCGCTTGACGAACAAACCCCAATGCGTTATTGTCCACGTCGATGTCGGAACCCAAGGTCTGGCTGCGGCCGTCCACAACGCCTCCTGCGGCCGCGCACCCGTCCTCATCTTCGCCGGCCTCTCCCCCTACACCATCGAAGGCGAGTACCGAGGGTCGAGAACAGAATACATACACTGGATTCAAGATGTGCCGGACCAGAAACAGATTGTGGCGCAGTACTGCAGGTATACCGCCGAGATCAAGGGCGGCAGGAATGTCAAACAAATCGTCAATCGAGCTCTCCAATTCGCGACCAGCGATCCCAAGGGACCCGTCTATCTCTACGGGGCCCGTGAGCCTATGGAGGAGGACATTGAGCCATACTATCTCGATCAGCAGGTGTGGGGACCTGTGGCTCCCGCAGCTCTGCCACAAGAGGGCGTGGCGCTCATCGCGGAGGAACTGGTCAAAGCTAAAGAGCCTTTGCTCATCGTGGGCTACACCGGCCGCAATCCTGAGTCGGTGGTCGCCGCCGTGGCTTTGGCGGACAAGATCCCTGGTCTTCGGGTCCTAGATTGCGGAGGTTCCGACATGTGTTTTCCATCAGATCACCCGGCGGCGCTGGGACTACGGTATGGTACCGACCGAGCCGTAACCACTGCGGATTTCATTCTAGTGGTGGACTGCGACGTCCCTTGGATTCCTAAATTGTTCAGACCTAAGCCAGACGCCAGAATCATCCACGTTGACGTTGACGTGCTGAAGCGGCAAATGCCCGTCTTCTATATCTGGGCGTTTGCTCGATTCAGCGCTGATTCCGCTACCGCGTTCAAGCAGGTCAACGAATATCTGGCCTCAAACGAGAAGCTCTCTGCGGCTTTGTCAGACGAGGCCCACGCGGCGGCGGCGAAGAAGAGACAAGAGTCATATACAGCACGCTGGGGCGAATTCAAGGCATTGGCCAAGATACCCGAAGACCCGGCGAACACGGCGATCAATCCTCACGTACTGGGCGGTCAGATCAGAGCAGCCGTGCCGCAAGACACCATCTTCGCCGTCGAGGCTGTCACCCTGAGCACCTTCATAGCCGACCAGATAGCGCCCGTGCAGGCGAAAACGTGGATCAACTGCGGCGGCGGGGGGCTGGGGTGGTCCGGCGGCGGCGCGTTGGGCATCAAACTGGCGTCGGATTTTGAGAACCGCGACGTCGCGGCCGGCGACCGGTTCGGCACCAACAAGGGCAAATTCGTGTGCCAGATCGTCGGCGACGGCACGTTCATGTTCTCGGTGCCCGGGTCCGTGTACTGGATCGCGCGACGGTACGACATCCCCATCTTGACCGTGGTGCTGAACAACAAGGGCTGGAACGCGCCGCGGCGGTCGATGGTGCTGGTCCACCCGTTCGGCGAGGGCAGCAGGGTCGACAACAAGGAGCTGAACATCAGCTTCGACCCGACGCCCGACTACGCGGGCATCGCCAAGGCCGCCACGGGGGGTCAGGCCTGGGCCGGGACCGTGAGAACCGTGGCGGAACTGCTCGACGCGCTGCCCCAGGCCGTCGAGGCCGTCAAGGGCGGCCGCTGTGCCATCCTGGAGGTCAAGCTGTTTGAGAAGTTGCCCGACCCTGAGGAGGCGAACGTGAAGACGGCGGTAGCGGCGCCGAGTAGTGGGTGATGCGTCTAGACGACTGACTACCTACCTACCTACCTACCTAGGTAGGTATGGAGATATGTAGGTAGGGAGCTAGGTAGGTGAAACAGGTGACACATGGCAACAAGGTACATAGATTGATATCACGCACAAATACCCAATCAACTATTGAATACTCTGTTCGGATCTGATCGGATGGCCTATTCATCGGCCAGTTCCCTGTACATATATTACGTGACACTCGAGGGAGAGGGATAGGGATAGGGATGGGGAGAGACAGAGTACTCAGGTATGTAGAGATGGATTGACAGTACATGTCCACACGTCGACACGTCCATAGGCCGTACTCGTACTCGTACTCGTACAGTATGTAGATGGTAGATGGTAGCGTCACACGGTCACATACAGTAGACACGCAGAATGGAGGAAAACTGGGCAAAACTCCGCGAGATATAGGTACGCAAAAAATGTAATAACATTATTTGCTATGGGACAGGTCATGATGATGTGGGTTCTTCATTTCCCCTCCTACTACTACCGCCGCCGCCGCTCACTTCTTCCCCTTTGTCAGGCAACCGTCCAGGTCTGGCGACCCTGTCATTCTATTTTGTAAGAAAACAGGGTTCCTTCTTATCTTCCTGTGCGCATCACAAACTCGATCTCGACAAAGGACCAAGATCCAATACAGCCGGTCACCACTAATTGGGCAAAGATGGCTGCATACATATCTTTTCTTCCCGAGATAGCCCGAGATGGCGCTCGGTAAGAAAAGTCCATCTAAAAGACGGAGCCCTTCCTCTCGACATCTGCAACAATCTCCTTGTTGAGGATACCGCCCTCACTACCCATGTGCTCGGCAAAAGTCTTGGTAGGCTTCCACTTGCTCGAGGTACGCGGGGTTGACTCTTCCATCATCTTGTCAACCTGTTCCAAGGTCAGACCCTTGGTTTCGGGGACGAGGAAGAATGCGTAGATGAATGCACACGTGCACAGGCCGCCCCAGATGAAGAAGACCGAGGATTTCAGGTTGCCTCTGTCCTCGTTGACCATGTAGGGTGTAATGACAGCAATGATCTAGGGAAGAGGTCAGTTTAACCGATCCAAAGCACTCCAGGATAGCACCACGGGAGGCTACTTACCGTGTTCCAGAGCCAGTTAGAGGCGGTCGAGAGACCCACACCTCGGGAACGGATCGGAAGAGGGAAGATCTCTCCGATGACAATCCAGGCGCCAGGACCCCAAGTCGAGGCAAAGAAGAAGATGAAGATGGCAATAAAGGCGATTTGTGCATTGACCGCCGAGATGTTGTTGGCAATGCTGTCACCGTCGGCGTTGGTATGGGTGTGGTTGAAGCCGATCGTGACACCGATGATGGCGACAAGGAATTGGCAAATAAGCATGCCCAAGGCTCCCCAGACGAGCAAAGGACGACGGCCAAACTTTTCCACCGTGTAGAAAGAGATCGGGGTGGAGCACACGTTGACCAGCGTGAAGATCAGGGAAATTAAAAAGGTGTTGTCAATTGCGCCAGTCGACTGGAGGAAAGGCGTAGAGTAGTAGAAGATGAAGTTGACACCGGTCCTGCGAAAGTGTCAGCCAACTGCGGACGCTACAAGAGGCAGAGCTCGGATTTTGCTCGTGGGGGCATTTTACTCACCACTGCTGCATCATCTGCAACGACGTCCCGAGAATAGTACGACGCAGGTTGGACTTCTGATGCCACAGGCCTCCCTTGAAGCAGTTGTACCAGCTGGAGAACCAACCAGAGGACGGAATCATCTCACGCTCGTACTCGTCATTGGCGATAATTTCGGCAATTTCCACTTGGATGTACTCGGAATCAGTAGGCTGACCGCGGAGGCGAGAGAGTGCCTGCATAGCCTTCTCAATGCGGCCTCTCTTGACAAAGTATCGAGGCGAGTCAGGCAGGAACACCAAACCACCGCCGAGGATCAG